AGGCTTAACCTTACAAACTAATACTCAAGGGAGCTACCCCGCTGATGTGAGAAGCTCTGCCCATTTTCCCATGACATTCATGTGAATAAATGTTCTGGCCTGCAATTTGCAGAACTGTTCATGTTTTGCTGGAGTAAAAACAACAGCTTAAAATTTTATGAACTGCACAAATTTAGAGGCCTTAACGAGTCATAATTTGAGCTTGAAACCTATCTGAATTTTTTTAAAGTAACAGAGGAGAACATCACAGTACTTTACACATTTTAAATACAGTGTGTGATGTACCTTTTTTTAAATATACAGTTACACTGTGTTCCTATAGCCTTTCCATTACATTTAATGACCCTGTATTTGTGGGTCTAGTAGGAAAAATTGGATACAGGGAAGGTTATAGAATCTCTTTTATTAGAAGTTTTGAAGAACAAGTTAGATAAAAATATGTCAAGGACAGTCTAAGTATACCTTTGCTACACAGAAAAAGTGGAGTGCACTACAGCTGCTCAGGGTCTGCTCCCACCCTACAGGCCCATAGTTTCCATGAAGAAAAAGGCCTTTGCACCGCAGTTTTTCAGAAGATAGCTTGAGATCAGGGTTCTCTTTGAGGTCAGATTTATAAAATAAGACTGGAATTTCAGAGATACAATTATTCCCTAAAAAAAATCCCTCCCAAGCTAAAATTTATAAAAACAAATTGGAAAAGTTGTATTAGGTTTACTAAGGTGAAAATATTTACAGTTGTTACAGTTGTAAGACCATTTATTAGATATTCCAAATTAGGATGGAAGAATTAAAGCCTTAAGAAAAGAGTAATAATAAGACTGTTTACTATAACTGTAAATCTAGGTATTGCACCTTTGCCAATATCCTCAAAATTGTTCAAACATCAACAAAATTATCCACACTGAAAAGATTAAAAGGAAGACATTAAAGGTGATGTAAAAACTAGCTTTGCTTTGCCAACAGCTAAAAGCTTATCTGCTCCACTTCTTGCCTCTTTTTAATTTTATTTTTCAAATTCATTAGTTTTGACTATCTGCAATAAACTAAAAATTAGGAGCATGGATATTCTTGTAACTTTTTCAAATACCAAAACTAGCACAGATAACACCCAGACTGCCTATCCTGTAAATGTCCTTAGAGCCTGAATATATACAATACTGAAACAAATACTGTGAAACAGGGCCTAATAAAAGAAGGGAGACTGAATTTTTTTTTTTTTTTTACCCAAAGATAAATAAATTAAAAAATGCAGTAACAGATCAACATTGGCATTCACCAATGAGAAGTCCGATATTCTCAAGATTTTGGAATTTCAGACTTCCTTATTATTGTGCTATAGGTCTAAGTGCAGACAGAAAGACACCATTAGACACGTCAAGATTCAATCAGCAGTTAGGAGAACTGCTTTCCTCTTGATCTTATGTGCTTTTTTCATGGCCATTTTCTCCAGAGGAAAATATTTACAAGTTGTGCTGCTACTGCAATTTTGTATTTTGATGCCAGAGAGGAGTTAGGCTAACCCCTTAATGCAGGCTTCCGTCACACACAATGAGATGCAATCTAGTAAAATGTTCATGGATCGACAAACTACATTCAGATATAGGGCTTTACTTGGACTGCAACTGTTCAATATTTCTGTTCTAAAGACACATGCAAAATGAATAGTTCATAAGCTTCGTTTTATACTTAATTAGGCTAAGAACAAACTTTTAGGAGGCATTAATAAAGCAATAGAAATTATATACTAGCATATTTTCCAGATACTTGTGAGAAATTAAAAAATAATCTAGCTATTTAGTGCAAGAATTATTTCATAAAGAGAGACTGAAGAAAAGATACTTTGGGCTTTGTGATTTGCTGCATTATGCATATGAGTGGAACCCATTGGAGGTGAAGAGAATTGTGTACTGACATAAAGAATTCAGCGGTATGCAGAGACTGGAAAGGGTTGACCAAATTTGCTTGTCAGTATATATACAAAGCAATGAACCAAGAGTATGTCAAAATGTCCAATATAGTAACTTGTACAGAGAAGACAGAAAATTAAGCAATAATTGCTCTTTTGTGAGTCAGACAGGAGAGCATTTCCTGCTCTCTTTTGTGCTACTAACAACTAAAACACTAACTCAGGTGTTCCCCCTGACATCTAAGAACAGAACGTAGTAATATTGGGCAGTTTCATGTGAGGTGATAAAATGGTTTTGATTATAGTGGACAGAATTGCCTCATATTCATTACTCCAGCAATTTTTCTTGGAACTATGATGAAATGCTTTAAATTTTCTGCAACAAATAAAAAGTGAAAAATAAGATTACCCACACTGAAAGAATAAGCAGATTTTTCTTAGTGTCAGAGCTGTTAGAGACATCTCAGGTGACCTCACCAGACACAAGCATATTGCTGGCAGAAGCAAGAAAAGTCAGACATTTTTGGCATGTCCTATAATACAGCTACATGCACTGATACGTAAGCGTGTGATGAAAAGAACAAAATTGGTTTTGCATTATGACGTCTTTATTACAATTAATCTCAGCATCAGTAGCGATTAGAGAAATTGAGATGCTTAAGATTTCAAATTAATTCTGCTAAGTGAGGTACACATTGTGAGCTCTCTGGTATGATGTACAAAATGCCCTAGGTCTTGAAATACACACTACCCTTTTTGAGAAGTCGTATCTGAATGTTAGATCCTCTTTAGTTTCCAAGCATACGTTTCTGTTACGGGTTTTTACCTGCTTCATTCAAAGGAGGAGAAATGTATAAAACTCCAGGTTTTTCTGGTCTGAGCCCTGCCTGATTCCTTTCTCAGGTTTTCCAGTTTCATTTCATGTTGGGTGTTTATTGCCCCTCTCTTGCAAAGCTGTCATCAGCAGGGATTTGCCAGCGCAGCAGTGGGTGGAAGGAAGGGCTGACAAGGACTGCAGGGGTGCCGTGGCAGTGAGGGGATGCGGCTACACATCCTCCCACTTACCTGACACTTCTGAAGCCGTGCGACCAGTGGGAAGGGATCCCTTACTCATGGGCCCTGTGCAGCGGGCACGATGCTTGGTGGGGGTGCTGGGGAAGAAGAGGTTACTGTGGCGCAGAGACTTAGGGTGCAAAACACTACTCAAAAAGCAACTTATTTTCTAAAGCCATTAATTGTGCAACATTACAAGAAACTTTAGAGAAAGCAGAACAGATTTTGGAAAAATAACCAAGATATAAGCATTGTTTTTTGCCAGTGCAAGTAGAGCTAGCATAACCTGACATAACACAGAGTGACTGCTGGCAGCTTAAAGTGCTGCTACTCCTATATAACAATTTATAGCCGATGGCATATGCAAGAGATGAACATACTTTACAACCATATAAGCGTGAACTAGTAATTAAATTATGTGAACAATCAAATCTAAGGTAGCTTTTCTAGAGTAGAGAAGTAATACCTTCATACTACTGATAGTCTCAGACCACAAAATTGGCTGTAGAAATGGAACCACTGATGGTGTAAAGGGAGTTAAAGTGACCTGCAAAAGGAAAATTTGAAGATGTTCCAGTGCAGTCTCTTATTAAAATGATGAAGTTAAGCACAGCTGATCAGGTGTTTCTCTAAAGTGAAAAGAGCGTAGAATTGTTACCGTTGAGATGAAAATAAGTTAGTCTACACCCAGCACTGAATCTTTATGCAGGTGAAATCTCAATAACGTCTACAAGAGTTTTTCTTGAGGAAGAACAAGAATAGAGCCTGATGTAACTAACTGGAACGACCACTGTACCACTTGTTCCTTCCTTGCATAAAAACCCCTCTAACAAGGACAGAATTAAAAAAAGGATTAATAGGTTTCAAAGAGTTTTGGTTGTGGGGTTTGTTTTTTTTTTTTAAACTTACCAGTAACACACAGAAGTAAGGCAAGCAGTCATCCAACATTAGGAGGAAAATAAATTTATACATCAGGAAAAACTTCTCAGTCTTTCAGCAGTGTAACAGATGAGGACAATGACAGAAATTACATTCATTTTAGTGGAGAAAAGGAATGCGGACACAAATACCAGCCCTAAGAATGAATACCCAAACAATTTTAAGTTTCAATGTAAACCTTATTACATATTGCCTTGTAAAATTATTTCCTCAGGGTGTTTACGGTATTACTAAGTTACAAATTATGCTGAGGTATTCATGTTCCCATGAAGGCCTGATGAGTGATTAACATTTGAAATTCAGGGACCTGGAACTAGAGCACCAGGTACAACAGCTAACAAGGAACCTAAGGGTTATTGTTTGCTATGCAACGCCGCAGCACTCTGTGGGTGACAAACTACCGGTTAACAAGTTTTCCATCATCCAGGATCTATATATCCAGGATATATAAAGCCAACCTCTATTGTACTGTAAACCTGTGACTGACAGAATAATTATGAAGCAGCTGGGGATCTCTGGAGGGCACAGGGCCCTCAGACCGTGTTTCTCAGGGCCTTGTCCCGTCACAGCCTCATTAGCCCTCATTGGCCGGGCAACCCGTTCCCCTGCCCCATTATTCTCGCCTTGAAATTGGTTAAGTCACGAACCTCATCGTTTGTGACTATCTTCACAGCTTTCCAGAACCATCGAGCACATGGGAGGGCGGAGGATGCCGGGCAGCAGCTGCCAGCCAGCTGACTTCACACCCGGTCCTCCCGTCGGCCCCCCCCCACCCCCACTCAGTCAGCAGGGCTAACCCGTCACCGCTGTCTTTCGAAGGTACCCCCGAGCCCCCCGCCCGTCGCCGGCTGCCCTCAGCTTAACAAGGGCACTTTCACGGTTGTTTTGCTGGGCAGCGCCAGGTGCCGCCTTAAACGCGCCCAGGCGTCGTCTCCGCTCAGTCCTCCGAGGCCGATGTACTTGTGGCGGATAAGCCGCCCCTCCCTCAGAGCCGGGACCCGATGACACGGGACGCCGTTAGAGCAGCCCCGC